CTCAACTATGGTCCAATCCGGATCAATTATATGAACTGTTTTTTGGTCCACACCAAGTTGTTGACGAGTTCGGTTGACGGTTTAACTAATCAGACCGTTAATAACCCAAGGCCAAGGCACTGGAAAATCTGATTCCTGATTTGTAAATCTAGGCGGTCCAGGGGAATTATGATTATGATTCGAAGGTGATAGGCGCATTCCCAACTACATGTAATTATTACTTCCTCTCATCTTATATAATAGGTACTCCTTGATATATAAAAATTAAAAGTTAAATACTTAATTTAAAGATATTAAGAATATATAGTGTATAAAGAGATATGTTGTGTATATTTATTACTTCCAATGTTGGGTAGAAAGAGACTTTTTTTTTTTTTAAATATACAAACTTATTAGAAAATTTTTTTTGGTGAACCAAGCTTATTAGAAATTTAGTTTATTCTTCTTGACTATATTGTCAGCTCATGTTATTTAAAAAAGTATTTGGATGAAAATCAAATTATAATTTTAAAAGTAATTTTATGGTATACGAAGTAAATATATGGAGGAATTTGTCTCAATTTGTGTAAAAGTGTTTTTCAAAAAACACTTCTGGGGATATCCAAACACCCGCTAAAAATAAGTTATCTGTTGTATATATTTCATTTAAGAAAAAATAATTATAAAAGGATAAGCTTCCCGTGGTGGCATTAGTTATTTGTAATAAATAAGTACTCCTCCAGTTCTAAATATAAGACCCTTATACTTTTAGTATAAATGTCTTATATTTAGGCCCGGAGGAGTATTGTTTTTCATAAAATACCCTTATTAATTATATGCATTGAGACTACCTTTTCATGAAGTACTTTTGATATGTGCGATGTCAAAAAAGTACATTTAATTAATATGTGTAATCACCAAATGAACTATTTTAGAAAATAAATAAATAAATATGTGAGAGGAAATAGATTGAGATTTTATATTTAGAACTAAATTAAATCTTCAACTAATTCTTATATTAAAGATAGGAAGTAGTATAAAATATTTTTTTTGAGAGTATTCTGATCTTATTTACAAGATTCACTCAAAAGATCAATGTCTAAAATTTTAACCAATTTTTTTATTAATTACATATAGTATCACTATATTAATATTTCTATGTACTTATTTTTTTCTTCCCATTATCTTCTCTCTTCCATAAATAATAATTTTAAAAAAAAACAAGATACATTTTTATATATTTATTGTATTTAACTAATTTTAACTATTTTTTTTATTTATGGAATTCTGTTAAGACTAGAGAAAGTTATGCAAATGAGATTGAATCCAACCTATTCAATAACTAAACAACTCAGGCATGCTCTCATTTCATGAGAGGTTAATATGCCAACCATTACCCTTGGATTTGTTGATGATTTAAATCTAACTAATTATACAGTTATAATGATTGAGCCAGGGGACATCAATTTTTTATTAAATTAAATTCATTATCAAGGTGAGTTAATTTTGTTAGTAATAAAGACTACCATATTTTCAGAGTGATCCACCTTCCTTGTATCATACCATATCCATGCAATATTACAAGCACCAATATTAAGAGAATATTCATGTTATAATTATATATGGTGATGAATAAAAGAAGACAACTAGCTACTTTAGCAGCATTAACTACGTTAATTAACGAAGAGGTATTGATCACATGGGACAACAATAAGCAGCTTACGTGCACACACATCAATTATGAAGATTGTGCTACATGTTAATTAAAAACTCTATATAAGGCTCCAAGAATAATAGTCCGTAGCTCAAAAGCCATGGAACTGCACTTTAGCAAGTTCATGGCAACCTCAAAGCAAGGAGAACATGTTATAGTGCTCAGCATTGATGGTGGGGGCGTCCGAGGAATCATTCCTGGCATTATCCTTGCCTTCCTCGAATCACAGCTTCAAGTTTTTAACAATATGGAATGGAATTCAACCTATATATTCTCTGTAGTTTTCAGTGTTTTCTTAGTACTATCTCTCTTGTTTTTAATATAAGAGCTAGGTACTAATTGACTTAAATTAAGAATATTAGTTAAGTTAATTATTTGTAACATATGTATGTAAAATACTTTTTTTAATCATATAAATTTGAACTGCCTTTGATAGAAATCTCACAATATGTCCTTTGGAGAAACAATTATGAAAGATTTGAAATACAAAGGGCAACAAGCTTTTACATTTATGACCAAAGTAAATTTCTTGTCTAATTGCTATATTTAGGATTGGAGGGAGTATTATTTATTTTTAGGTGTTATACATTTATGATCCTTTGAAATGATGTAAGAGCTACTTAATGAATTTAAGTAGATTAAGAAAATTAAATAAATTAACTAATTATAAACAATGTGATTTGATCTCTCTAAAGTATCCCTATGTAACATTAGATTATGTATCACCTTATAAGCTAAGTAAATGCTACATCTAGTCCTAATTATAAGATCTAGTTTATAGTTTACAAACAAGGTCTTATAAATAGGACCGGAGATAGTAATTTGGAAAAAAATAATTACAGAAGACAAAGTAAATTAAAGTTTTATATTTAAGATCAAATCTACAATCCCAACTAACTCTTATATTAAGGACAGAAAATACTATGTATGTGTATGCTTTTCAATCTTAATGTCCTCATGGCTAAATTTTGGCTTTTTCCGTGGTGAAACTCATTTGATACGTTTGTCCACTCACGAGATCATGCACCTATTAGAAAGAATTTAACTTGAGCCCATGAGATTTGGACGCATATAAAGATTGTTTATTTTAAAGTATATGTGTCTGTATTATGTGGTGCAGAAGCTGGATGAAGAAGACGCAAGATTGGCAGATTATTTTGATGTAATAGCAGGAACAAGTACAGGAGGATTAATGACTGCAATGCTCACTGTTCCAAATGAAAACAAGAGGCCTTAATTACAACTCAATTCCTTGATCTTTAAATTATCTTTTTATAAATTTGATTCAGTTTTTAAAATTTAACTTGACACAATTCAGACTCTCAAGTTTTAACCATTTAATCTGTTAATTAGTCTCTGCACTTTGTGACATGATTATAGTTCAATCCATGAAGGACTATATAATTTTCTAAAATGTAAAAACCAAGCGATTAAATGGCTGATACTTGAAGGATTGAGTTGTAATTAAGGAAAAAAAATATAAGGACTAAATGATTAGTTTTTCTAATTAAATTAAATTACACACAATCTCCTAAATTTTAAGCACATAAACACACGCAAAATGTTTAGTGATGTCATGCGGGTGAAGGAGGGGAAAATGCTAGCAGTACCAAAGTACGACGGGAAGTAATTGCGTAATCTTATTAAGGAACAGCTTGGGAAACACCAGATTGAACCAAACATTGACCAATGTTGTCATCCCTACCTTCGACCTCAAACGCCTTCAACCCACTGTTTTCTCCACTTTTAAGGTTCATCTCCTTCTCTCCATCTGTTGCTGGTTTACCTAAAATTGTTTCAACTATGGGCTGTGACATGAATGTACATGTGTTGTTGGACAATAAGACAGCAAACGAAGAAGCCAGGAGTGAATGCATTGCTCTCTGATATAGATGCATTTCAACTTGAGCAGCACCAAGTATCTGCCTGCTCATTATTTCACCACCCAAAATGACAAGCGCCAAGGTCAGGAGTTCAACCTCATTGATGTTGGTGTTGCTGCAAATAACCCTGTATGTTTTCTTCCTTCCAACGCTATCACTATCATTTTATTTTCGAGAGAATTACTGTGCAGTTCTATATAAGCAATCTAATCACCAAAATATTTTAGAACAAGTAAGTAGCATGCAATAACAAGATCCTGTGCAAGAAATGACAACAGATTGTTAAATATTGACAACTTAAAAGAACTTTTGTGATTAACCATTTATACGTAAAACTAATTCATTTTGTCCTTTCCAATTTGAGTCAAGCTTCTCTCTAGCTTTGTTTGTCACGGCGTGTCTCTGTCCAGGTGCATGCAAAGCAAGCTAGGATCTTTTCACCTGTGAGGAGCGTTTCTTTGGAGAGAACCCTAAATTATTGCAGTAATTTTTAAATCTTACAGATTCCTTCCTGGATAACATGCATTAATTACTTTTACCCTGTGCTCTCAACGTCTTTAAAAAGATTGGTTATGTAGGTGGGAGGGAGAGAGACGGATGATTAGAATGTCGGCTTTAATTTAGTTGGGCTGTCAACTTTCTGGTGCGAGTGAAGCTTTTTCTTTTTTCTTTTTAATTTATAATTTGGTTATGTAGGTGGAGCTTACAGTGAACAGTCTTCATCGAGACAGAAGATGAGAGGAGTTATGCTAATAGTTAGGGAGGACGTTGTCGAACATTGGAATGGGTCTTCACATCCTTCAGTAGAGGAGTTGGTGGGAATGCCATTCCGGTGGTGCTGGTTTTCTTCTTAACGAGAGGGGTGAGAGCTGGGCAAATGGTGGAAGATGCCATAAACGGACGCGCGTCGGCTACTTGAATAGATCTTCACATCCTTTGACAGAGAAGTTCATCGGCTACAGGTTAAGATCAATGAAATATTTTACCCAATCTTTTGTCTTCTTCCTCTTTATTGCTCTCTCTCCTCTGTACATTAATAGCATACACACACTTTAGGTCCCAAAGATGAAGTTTGAAGGAGTTGGCGGAGAAAATAAAATATCTTCTAATATTGCATTCGATTAAGAGGGCAGAAGTAGCAGAGGATAGAACTTGAATGGGGGAGAGAGAGATTTTCTAGAAAAAAGAGTAGGAGAGGGAGATGATGAGGTGGAGGGTGACATGGAAGAGAGGAAGGGAGAGTCCCATGTGGCGTGCCACACAAGCAATCTAGTCAAATTAACAGCCAAAATTGAGTGGATTAACTGTCAGGGCAATATTGCTACGTTTTTGTAACTTCCGAGACAGACGTTGAGACTTTAAAAACTTCTAGACATCCATAGCTCCTAGCTGCATACTTTCGGAGTAAATTTGCACATTATCCCTATTCTAAATTACCGTTACTTTACTGACCATTTCTATACACATTCACAATCATCGTTGCATCAAATTTTGAAACAAAACCATGTAATTCTGGGCATATATTTTAATTATTACAAGGCAACCACCTAAAGAGAAGTTCTAACTGGCAACTATTATCCATTTACAAAGAACAGCGTGTGCCGAAATCAGTTAAGGAAATGCATAAAACTACAATGCAAACTCATATATTCACCACTTTGTCGATTTACATTTGCCTGACATTGAGTTCCCTTGAAAGTATGGCATGAAGGTTCTTATAACTTCTTCGTAAGTTGGTCTCTTGTAGTCCACTGCCTGTAATCAGTTATAGCAATCAGTTCTTCGCAGAGATAAAATGATCAAATTTAGGCTTCAATACACTTTTTCCCCCTTGCCCCCCCCCCCAAAAAAAAGAAAAGTTTCAATATGTTCGCTTCAGTTCAAAAGCAAGCAATGTTGACTAGCCTTCGTGTTTTCTAAAATGCCTCAATGTTGCCTGTCATGTAATGTGAAAGTAGGCAAACGATTAAGTCTGATAATAATAAGTTTTTGTTGATGGAATAAGTGACAGGAGCACAATTGAATCATTTCAGAAAATCAGAGGGCAATATATCTGGTTATGGACTAACAGGGTCAAATTGAAACTTGGGAAAGACTAAGGGGATTAAAAGTGTATTTAATTAAGCCTAAACTCACTATCTGTAAACAAGATTCTGAAACTAGCCTGCTCAATAACTTCTTCAGGGTGAGCCCATTTCCATTCAGCAAATTCTGGGTCCGCTTCTCCAGTTGCCAAATTGATTTCACTGTCATCTTTTGTTAACCGCATAAGGAACCTATTGAATGTTCAAATCCAAGGTTATAAAAAGCACAGTTTTGAAAAAGTAACCATGTAAATTTGGTCATAGAGTTCAAACATGAGCAAGAAATACCAGCTAAATAAAATAATGGCAGAGTCTTTACTTACAGTTTAAACATCAATATGAAAATATAGGCTTAGTTTTTTGTTTTGGCCATGCAAAATACAGGCATAGTTAAAAGTATATTCAAAGAAGAGCTTATTTTGTTTTACAACAGCTGAGTAGTATGCTGGGGAAACCGGACTTGGTAAGCATGACAAACCCTGATGTTTATCCTTCAGGAAGGCATAATGTCACATAAATTTCATAGATACATCTTGTATTTATCATTAAATTATATTATTAATGCAAATTAAACCACAACGAAATTTCACCGTAAGACTGAAACTCCACAAATTCCCTCTCCACATAAGAACGATCAATCACATCGTTGATTAGTAAACATTCTTATTTTAACTTTGACTGAATAGACTAAACATACTTAGACATCCAACCAAGTCAAGCAAATATTTTAGACAACCTCATTCAAACATGTGATCAAACATTTCTAATCAAAGTAAACAGTGAATCTTATATAGCCATACGAATAAAAAGGTTATGTTCCACTGTTAGAGTCATTAATTCATTATTTACCTCAACTTCTGTAAATGACGTGGGGTTGCGGGTAGATCATGCATGCAATTAACATAGAAGACAAAATTGATAAATAAAAGTCAACTTATGCGTATTCCTACAAAAGCCCTCTCAGAGAATATGGGAATCAACCTTAGAAGAGAATACTGAATGAGCTCAGTATTCTGAAACCCAAATTAACTACATACTAAAGATCCAAAAGCACCCTAGGGTAGAGCTGCAAGCCTTGATGTATATTTGTTGAGGCTTATGGGCATATTATGCCTGGTTCTAATGAGAAAAGTTAGCTCACAGGCTGTTCCACAGTTCAACAACTTCACCTCAGGCATGCATCAATTCATATACACTCACTAATCAGATGTGTATTACAGGGATGAGCTGAGCAGGGAATATTGGCTAGACCCATTTTAATAGCACTACTGATACGTAAACCCATATATGAATGCTAAGTTATTTACTTATACTAAACCTCCTTTAATTTGAGCCAAAATGAAGATATCAACCAAGAAGCAAGATATCCAATAGCAGCAAGGATTGTGACTTCAGGGTTCACCAAGGGGAAGGCCATCAACTACACTGCATAGCTTTAAGGTCCCATATATGATCATCATCACATGAATAGGTAAAATTTTATCCACGGAATTAACAGATTCAAAAGTAAGAATCTCTATGGATTGTCAAGTATTATGGGTCTCCCCCACCCCACCCCCCCCCCCCAAAAAAAAAGAATAAAAAACACACCATTTTTGTGCCTGCCCATGCCAGTCACCTCCCCACAGACGATTAACTTTGGCCTTCACATGAGGAGGGAAGTCATAAGTCAACCATCTTGGAACCTGCAAAGCACAATCTCTTATCAACCTCCACTTGATTATCAGAAAATGATGGCAAGAGTTTCCAATAGAATCCACCGTTTTTATATAAAGTATATTTGCTTTTCCTCAATCACAGTCAGGCAGGTTGTTTCCATTTATTTCTTATCTGATATTGTTTCTCTTCATCTTTTTTATTTTTTAATTTTTAATTGTGAATTGTATAGGAATTTCCATAAATATCAGGATTTTGTGAAATGGTGCTTGTCTGTATTACTCTTAGATGTAAGCATGCACAATCATTGTTGTTTGCAGAATATACTAAAGCAAACCAAAACCGACTGATAAGAGCCAGATTAGCACAAACCTCAGCAATTATTTCAGCAGATACTATTCCTGTTTCTTCTCGAAGTTCTCTAATGGCAGCAGATTTTGGTTCTTCACCATCCTCAATCCCACCCTGATATTCAAGATCACAGAGGAAAAGAATAAATTTTAGCTGAAAATTTTGAACTAGTAACAAAAGATTACCAAAATATGGCAAAGAGTCTGTCTGATATTCAAACAAAAGAAACACATCAAGTGCAATGCTGTATATTAAGCCTGCCAGAAGTGAGGTTGTCCAATCTTGGAAGGTCAAAATAGACCCCAGTATATAATGAAAAGAGCGTTTTCTATCATTGATGCTAAATAGTAATGAATTATCCCTTTTTTTTTTCTTTTGGCCAGAATGAGTTGTCCATTAAATCAACAGGAAAATCCATATTACATCTTATGCAATAAGATCCAACCAATATCCCCGACAAACAAATTATGAACTATGTAATACCTTCACTTCTCTAATTCTATGTTTTGGCTACAGGTTATGACTCATTTGAATTCACCGTAAAGGAGGGGGGAAAAAATCTCACCTGAGGCATTTGCCATGCTCCAGGTACATTCAATTTGGAAGCCACAAAAACCTGAGCCAAAAAGAAAACCAGGGTTATACAGAGCTACTCATAAAACAGGATGAACAATGAAAGAATAGGATTCATATTCTTCAAATTAAATTGGATACATTAATATAAATTCTAAACGACAGATATGGTATCTCATGTTCAAATTATCAGTTTGCTTAAAAGATTGGAAACATTGTATCTCAAACAATGAAAACAAAAAGTAGATCAGTAGAACATCCATTATAAGCTGTAGTTAGTTCATTCTGGCCAGATTTAAAGTGAAATCAGCAGAAGATTTTTCAATCTGGGACAAAAAAAAATTTAGAAAAACAACGGCTCGTAAATTTCCTGGCAATTTTCATGTAAGCAATCACGAGAAAGGGAAGGGAAAAAAATAGTAACATATCATACCAATTTCCCAAATCTAGCACTGAAATTACGGAGCTAGTGTTTGTTTCAGTTACTGATCAAATCACCAAATTACTTAAAGAAATAAATCAACATGAGAAACTGAAAGAACTCAGAGATAAAATTTGAAGCTTTTTTATTTATTAACTTGCCGGTTAAAACTTTTCAATTTAGCAGAGGATATAAAAATGAGAAAACAAGGGGGGGGGGACATAACAGTGATCCCAAACCAACGAATGGCAATAGCAACAAAAACCCAGTACATTTATGTGGCAAACAGTTAACAAAAAAAAAGTGCATTTAAAGTCGCTAGTTCTATAGCTTAAGCAAGAAACGGCAGAGACAGAGAGGAAACCTGGAAATCGGAGTTGATCAGACAGACTCCAACGTTGGGACGGTAACCTTTGGGAAGGCCTTCCATGGTTGTTTCTTGAGAGAGAACCGAGATTCAGGTGGGGAAAAAGTAAAATAAAAACAGTGGTGTTGTGTTGATGATGATGATGGGATCGGTGTGAGTGAGATAGAAGAAAGTGAAGAAAACAAATTGGGTTGTTTGTCAATTTGAGTTGTGATGCGCTGTGAGCTCACGAGCTGTGGGGTGGGGGCGTGTGCGCGTTAATTTGATGTGTGGGAATGAGCGACGGACGCTGACTCTGACAAAAAAAGAAAAAAAGTGACTCTCACACGCGCACACAAGAGCGTGGAGTTTCCTGCACTTTTGTCCTACGCACCCCGCCCACCAATTTTCTTCCTGGCTTTGAAGAGTGGAGATCCAGTGTGGCTCGCCTACGGTTGCTACTGTGAGCCTCTCCTGGTATTTTTTTCCTTTCCCGTTCTAAAAATCAACACCAAATGGCTGAAATCACGAGGAAAGGTAGGCAACCAAGCAATGAATTAAATTATTACCTTTGATATTTAATTCAAGTCTCGGTTAACTAATTTAAAAATATTTAAAAAGTTAAAAATTACTTAATCATAATATATATTACATGATTTTTTTTAAATACTTATATGTATCATTATATTATATATCAATTTATAAATTAAGCAAGTTATTTAAAAAATGATAAATATAAATATTTTAAAGTATTTTTTTTAGTTTCTCCCATCTTTTTAAATTAATTGGTTAGGCCTTATATTAAAAATATGAAATATGATACAGTACTTCATATCAAAACTTAAAATGTCAATGATTAGGTGGAAATGAGTATTGTTTTGGTCTAACCCTTGGCCCACAATAAAGTCAAAATTTAATTGTAAAATTAAAGTCCAATCTTTTCACCTAATGTGATTGTTGGGTTATTCAAGAAAATTAAAAATAATTTGATTAAGATTAGATTTATGATCTTCCATTATTAGAAAAGTTTTAATATGAGGTTATTGGCGACAGCTGAGAAGCATCAAGCACGTAGCTTGAGGCTTGAAAGGTAAATATAAACAAGGGAAAGATGAGGGCGCATGGTGATAAGATGAGACGGAGCGCAGAGGAACGAAAAGAGAGTGGGGCGCAAGATAGCAAAAGCTACGCCGATGGTGGCGCGGTGAATGAGGTGAACACGCGGAGAGACAGGAGGGGGAAACGCAACAAGCAACAAAAGAATCAAAAAGTGGTGGGCCCCACCACCAACGGCGTTGACTTTCAGTGGCTCGCCTTATATTAAGGAATTGTTGGATCAAGTGATCAATCCATCATTTCTTTTTCTTTTCTTTTCTTGTTTTGCCCGTTGCATTTCAGGTTTTTGTTTTTTGAAAAAAAGAGAGAAGGGAATATAATAAAGGCAAAAAGATCCCCACTTGCGTTATCCACTGGTCAGAAGTCCTTTGCTTTTCTTCACCCAAAAAAAAAAAGAAAAAGAAAAAAGAAGTCCTTTGCTTTTTGAAACCATCCACAGTATCTTTTCTTCCACTTCTCGCAAATATTAGTTTTATCATAATATTGGAAACAAAAGATCATCTCCTTCTAATCAAATTTAATACAAACATAAAAATTAAGATATTTAACATTGTCAATATTATCAGTTAATTCAAATTTAAGTGTTTGTCTTAGCTTATTTTAACTGATTTTATAGCGTACAAGGTAAATATATTAGATAAATTGTAAGGTTTAAAAGTGACTTTTGTAAGTGATCCTAAATATGCATAACTATTAAAAAATTAACATTGATAATCAGCGTTTTGAATATACAGAGTAACGTTAAGCTGAACAAAATTTCAAATATCCATACCTCCTTTACAAATATTTTCAGCGCAAAAATGACTCTTAAGCTAGTTTGATTGATTTTTACATGACAAACAAAGTTCTCCTAATATAATTGTTTTATTCACTAAAGTCAAATTTGAGACATTACTTCAAAGGAAATCTATTTTATTTTACTTAATCTTCTTATCTTTAATTATCACGACTCAGTCCCTTTCACATAAGAGTTAAGTTACACAAATATTTCTTATTTTAAATTACATAAAACTAATTTTATTATTGTACCGTGATTCATGTGTCATAATGAATTTTTCTAAATTTTATTCTTCACAAATTTATATTATTATAAAAAAAAACAATTTTTATTTACATGTTTTTAGCTTATTTTATCATTTCTTTGACTGATTTTTCACTAAATCAATTTTGCAAATGTTTTGAACATGTCCAGTTTGCTAGTACAACGATCAAATCAGTCTGTCTAGTCAAGTGTTGTGGAGAATGATGCCAACCAGGCAACCAACCAAACCTTCATCACATCACATGAAAATGATGCTACGTCAGTTCACAAAACTACTATTAGCTTCACCGCAAATTTACATGTTCAGCTTCCCAAATTACAAGAGACTTTAAAAATATCTAAAACGATCTTTCCTTCCAAATGGCCAAAAAAAAAAAAAGACTCACACATACAAACAAACCAGAAAACACGGTAGAGAACAATCCAAGGGCATGACATATATCAGCATGAAATCCTCGTGAAGAGGATTTGTGCACCATGTTGTGGCTTCAAAGTAATGAACAATATAGGAGAATGGCAATAGGTTGGAGACACAGCAAAACTGTAATTGCGAATGATCATTGCAAGAGCAATCTTTGCCTCAACCATTGCTAAATTTTGACCTACGCAAGTTCGAGGGCCGAGTCCAAAAGGAAAGAACGCGGCTATATGTCTTCGAGGTTCACTAAACCTGTCCGGATTGAACTCATGGCAATCTTCTCCCCAAACCTCTCTGTCATGGTGGATTGCAGCCAATACCAAGTGGAGTTGAGTCTTGGCAGGAACACTAAGATTACCTACCATAACCCTTTTAGATGTTTGTCTCATTAACATCACACCAGGAGGGTACAACCTAAGTGTTTCATTAATTATCATCCCAACCTGTTGCGAAATGTCAACAAACAATGGTCAATGTTGATCAATACAGATATTTGTTTCAATCACACTGATTAATGATGAATTAATCGTAAGTACAACCACTTTTGTCCCCTAAATATGATTTTAATACTTACAAGTTTAATTTTGTTCCATGTTCATGCTTTCAGAGGTGGTAGAAACAATGTTGAACTTTCAGACATACAAAAAGCATCTTGAGTAAGCCAAATGAAGTCATATTTATAGCAGCAAAATGGGATTTTAGTAGCAGACCTAAGAACTCAATAGTTGTTCATTTATTTATACAATCTAAGAGAATTTTACTACAGCACCACTTTTGCAGCTATAACATTGATTGATCACAATTGTATGATTGAAATTCATTTGCTGTTATTTTTTCCTTTTCCCCTTAACATGGCTAATTTTTCTGAATTTCTGCAGATTACTCATGAAGCTATAATATACATATATATCAGTGATTATTTAGATATTTTGACAAATAACCGTGTACAACAATCTGCATTCTAAACCTTATACGAATTCAGAGCAGCATTCTAACCAAAAGTAGATCTTAGAAAATGAATTTTTGAGCTTACAATCTTAAGGTCATTTAATTTGTCTGCAGGTGGAAACTGGCTTTGCCCGACAACATGAAGAATTTCTTCTCGTGCCTTACTTTGCCATTCTTGATGTTTAGCAAGGAGAAGAAGTGCCCAAGTCATCAAACTAGCAGTAGTATCCTTTCCAGCAAAGTAGAAGGTTTTACATTCATCAATGATTTCTTCTATTGTCAGTCTCTCTTCTTCACCAGCCTCATTCTTGTATGTATGCATCAGTGAACTTAACAGATTTCTTGGATTTCCTCTTTGTTTGGCCTTAGCTTCAATCAGCTTCTGAATTGATTCGCGAGTTTCTTTTTCTAGTCTCATCCTGTCTCTGTTCTTCTTAGTTGGCAGATATCTGTACTTTTGTTAAAAGTTCAAACAGAAATGGCTAGAACTCAATTTGCAAGTCAAGAAGGTAAAACATCTCCAGTACAGTTAAAATTTTATAGAACAAGTAACAGAACCAAATTCAACAAAAGGTAGCTCTTACACTGACTGAAAATTACCACCTCTGATCTTAATATAAAAGCTAGTTGACTAATTTGAGCAATTAAGAAAACTAGTTAAGTTGGTTATTTGTAATAAATAGTATTGTTTGTCCTAAAATATCCTTGCTAACTAAGTGTATTAGCTGGAACTATCATTATTACAAGGACTATCTTTGAAAAAAATAGATAAATATGAGAAACAAAATGATTGGAATCTTATATTTAAAGTCAAATTGATACGAGTCAGTTGAAAATAGTAATAATGTGTCCTATTTGTTTTGCCAGCTGTCTAACTAACTGAAAGTAAAGGGATTAGTTATAAATCTCCCTTAATTGTAATCATCCAAATTCAGTTAGATAATAATACACACGAGTTCTCTCTCTCTCTCTCCTCTGCTGTGTACCAAACGAGGTCTTATATTAAGGACTAGAGGTAGTATAAATGAATATCACCAACACTTTCTTTTGTTTATTCAAAATGGATCAAAATTTGGTACTCAAAATATAAAGGACAGACTTGAATTATCCATTCTGACATAACTTAAGAGTATGGTACTTTAAACCAAAAGTGTTGGACATCGTGACATAACAATGACAATATTTGAAATGTTAATTGTAATTCAAAGTGTTGCGTCGCGTTTAATACATGTGTCTTAAATTTGTATGAAGCTTCAAGGGGTATGTATGAGCTTCATATGGATAAAGCCTGTGTTGGTGAGCCTAATTATCAGCCATTAGCATGATAGTTTAAACTGAAGCAATCCAGTTAAATTCTGTATATTTTCTTTAAAAGCTGCCTTTGTTCTAATGAACAAAAGAAGAGCCAACATGGTTACCTAAATCCGGGAATATAGACACTCCTGATTGCTTGGGAGAAAAGATGCATTTGTTGTTCTTGTAAGTTGAAAATACGCTTGCCTTCTTCATAGCTGCTGCCAAATGCAGTCCTCGATATAACCTCTGCAGAAACATTGTGCATCTCTTTGTGCACATCTATCTCGAATTCTTCTCTTCCTCCCCCTATCTCCTCCCACTTCTCTAGCGTCCTTTGAACACTTGCTGCAATATCTGGCACCCACCCCTGCAAAAATTGTCACGCAAGAAATAGTTGATGACATTGGTTTTTGTATTCCAAGCAAGTTAACATAGCTTTTTTTCGTTGATACAAAGGCAAGAAGAAGCTTGAAAAAGGAAAAAGAAAACCTTAAAGAACAAACTAAACTATGATATACTCTCTTATGGAGATTTATCCTGGCGACACACATAAAAAATACTCAGTGCTCAAATGCAAAGTAAAGTGTTGCATCATCATGTCATCATAAATACATTAAAAACATCTTAATAATAACAAAAAGCAGAACAATAGTCACCTTGATAAGCTCCAGGTTAAATGCTTGATTGATGATCCTCCTATGAAGTGCCCATTGATCACCTTCCAAGCCCACAAGTCCTTGTCCAAAAAGAAGCTTAGACTGAGGATTATAGGGCAACTTACAAAAGTCTCCACTCTTACTCATCAACACTTCCTTAACCATATCCGGGTCGGTTATTGCCAGTCGGGGCTTTGACCCGAACCAGTAGAGGAAGGTTTTCCCATACATGGTTGACCACTTATGGTAAAATGGCAGCACCCGTTTTAGGATATCATGGTGAAAAGGGATTGGCTCGGACTGAGTTTCTGCATACAGCCGTCGGATATCCCCTGAGTTCCCGACGATCGGACGGTAGCCAGGCCCTCTGATCCCCTGTTTGCGAAAATCACTCTGGATTTTCCATGGGACCCAGAAAATCGAGTCCAAAATTTTCACTAAGCAGGTGAAAAGGACAATCAAAGTAATGAAGAGAACAATCATGGATGATTGTTAAATCATGAAACTAAGGAATCCAAAAGCTCAGGTTCTGACGTTCTTCTCTTGCAGTATCTTATTCTATCCAGAGAGCTGCACAAAAGAATTTAAAGAATTCACATACGAGTCATTCATTTCTCACTTTGTCTCACAAGTGAAGCTTCCAGAGAACCAGAACTGAATGAGTAATGAATAATATAAAAGTAAAACAAAGTAAAGGTCAAAACTTTCAAACAGGCAGAGGGAAGATAACACTGCATGGATTAAAACCAAAGGCGTTGACTTTCACCTTGAGAAAGATGAAGCTAGTCTTCTTCTGGGCAGCTATTCCCTCCAAGACAGCGAAACTTACTAAATATTTAGTGATCGCTGATTTTCGAACAAGAAACAGGACAAGAAACAGGGGGCATGCGATCACAGGATTTGTGAAGGGCATCAGCACAAATACTACTAAAATATTCGTCTTCAATATTTATCTGGGGAATGGGACTGAGGTCTTGGACTGATGAAAATGATTTTTCTTGAAAAACCAGGATAAAACACTTGTTGGTCCTTCCATACTTGTCCGAGAAAATTTGCATAAAAATATGCCTAATGTGTGTTGTGATTGATTCTCCAACAATGGAGTGAAGGGCATTTTGCGATTTTAGCCTTGGCAGTGGCACTTAGAGGGTTTTTGCAGGAAGGTCAAATTAGATTTAACGCCAGCGAAAAAAAAAAAGGGAAAAAAAAGAAAAAGAGGTGATCTTTGGCCAACAAAAGGAAAAAAGAAAAATGTCTCCACATCTCCTTAGTCATTTACTATTTTCATTTAGGACTAAAATATATATTTAGTCTTTTAATTTTGTATAAGATTTTAATTTGATTTCTTAATTTTAAAAAGTATATATTTGGTCATTTAATCCTAAAATCATTAGGCTTTAATGAATTTTTTATAACAATCATGGATGTTTTAAAAATTATTAATATTTAAAAATATTTTATTAATATTTAAGATCTTAATTTCATTATTTTTTTAAAAAAATTTAGAGTTAAAAGATTAAAAACATACTTTTTAAAATTAAGAGACCAAATTAAAATATTATATAAAATTAAAAGATTAAATATATATTTTAGTTTTCATTTAATGATAATTTTAAGGGGATAATAAATGCTTAGGAAATTCCGTTCTCATTTATAGTCTACCATCAAAGATTCCTTTTCCAATAACAGAGCTAAGCATTTAGAAATCTTGTGGGCTGTCTAGTCACAGGGCCTGAGGGTTCGATATCGTTGACCTTATTGGTAATGAGTTCTGACAACATATGTTTTCGCAATAAACATGTACGGTGCCTAATCTAAAATTTTATTTGATTTTTATTTTCATTTTAAATATAAAATCTCAATTTATTTTATTTTTCATATTTATATATATTTTTCAAAATAATCCTTCTAATAATGATAGTTCTAATCAATATACTTAATTAGTAAAAATATTTTAGGAAAGATAACATATATTTATTACAAATAACTAATTTAACTTCTTTTATTAATTTTCTTAAATTAATCAACTGACTCTTATAATTAAAATCAGAGATAACATCATAATAAAAATTACATTATAAAAAATATTTTATATTTAGGACAGAACTACGTTCATGTCTTGTACGGTTGTACTTACATTTAATCTGCATTGAATGATTCTTTTTTTTTTTTTTTCTTCCTTTTATCGCCATGAATATTTTTTTCTTTTGTTTTTTTGTGTCCCTGTTGAAAGTCACACCAAAACGGGGAAGTTTCAAATGAAATGAATCTGGAACTGGAATGGCCAGAGAAGAAAGCAAAAAGGTGAGAAAGAATGGAAAGTAACAAGAGACGGCCACTCCAAGGAAACAGTGCGTGTCTGTGTGTCCGTCATATAGTTGGTACGCGCGCGCACACACACCAATTTTAGTTACACCAACCACAAAAATCTTAAAATGAAAATTCTTGTAGCTTCTTTTCCTTTTGGTATATAATAACTTCCGCTTTGAATGAGAATTGATTCCTCTCGCCAACAAAAGAGGAGTTCGCTATAGAGCTTTTGCTTGAACGAGGCGATTGTCCCCTCTGCGAAATGGACGACCAAGTTGTCCAGCGCGTCTTCCATGAAGGAGGCCGCGACTACTATCAACAACAGCCTTCTACATCCTCATCTTCCTCCTCCATCCTTCAATCTCTCCCTCTCCATGTGGTATGCATTCTTTAAATTCACAAAAAATTTTCTTCCTATTCCTTCTCCCACTCATCACTGCCCTAATTATCAACTCTCGCAAATTGGATGAACGAAATTTTAGAGTTTGAACATTGGAATTCATGCCTGTAACTTAAATTTTAGAACTTGCTTAATTGTTGCAGAATTATATGCTTATAGCATGTGCATTAGTTGTAATTGAATCTCATCATCAAATGTGTCCTTCAACTTATTGTTAATAATCCATTTGTTTAGAATTTCATCTCTTCTGTGTGTATATGGATGATCTTATGCTTCATCAACCGCGTGAAAAGTGTTTTTTTTTTTTAACCCATTTGCAATTTCGCACAATCAGTTGCAAATATCAATGTTCGTGTTTTCTTGCCTGAGCGCTGATTCTTTGTTATATCCTAGTATTATGGGCTAACTGACTTATGAGAGAGATGCTACAACAGTATTTAGATTACAGCCGCATCATGTTAATATCTTAATGTCCATTTGCTGGTGGGACTGTAGAACTGTAGAAGAGAAAATGCAAGTAATTATTTAATGTAGTTGTCAATTCTCACGAACCTATGTCTTCTTTCATTTGCCTCTGGTTCCAAAATACCTAGTTGATTGTTAGTGTCAAATTGGATGGATGACTGGATGAAATTGTTGAATTTATAGGTTGTGCGTGTTTATCAAATTTTGGTATTATTATTTATGATTTTACATCAATTAACACGTCTTATGACTAAATAGTAACATTGGCCTGCTTGTAATTGTCATTTCATCACAATTCATAATTATCTTGTAAGTAAGAGAGAGTCGCTGACCTTTTAGTTTCAGCTTTTTTTGGGGCTATTAGTATTAATGTATTTTAATCTTTAATTGCCAATTTCTCATGATCCGAGAAATCTATCAAATGCATGACTACATTTTTGATAAACATTTTGCAGTCTTTTGATCATGGCTATTATTTGTTAGTAAAATCTATCCAAGAACTTCGAGAGAAAAAAGAGGGTCTTGTAACAGTTGGCATTGGTGGTCCTAGTGGTTCTGGTAAAACAAGGTAGTAATCTATGTTTTTGCTTCTTCTTAATTGTTATTGTGCTATATTAAGCTAAGCACGAATTTTGTGTCATGGTTCCCAAAGCTTAGCAGAGAAGGTGGCATCTGTTATTGGTTGCACTGTTATATCGATGGAGAATTATCGCAATGGCATTGATGAAGGGAATGATTTGGATTCTATAGACTTTGATGCCTTGGTCAAGAATCTTGAGGTTTGCATTTGTCTCTCTTCTTCAACACTGTAAAAAATTATGGTTTAGCCTTTTTGAATAACCGTGGTTCAGTAAATCCTCTGGTTTTATACTTTTCTTATTGTTCTTCTCAATGTTAACTCTTTAAATTATCAAAATAGTGTCTTCCTGAATTTTGGCTAGTATTAATACACACTAATGAAAATGGGGGAGGGGAAAAGGAAAGAAATACAAAGAGTAAAAATGGTAGCTGCTGAAGCCATACAAGTTATTGTCTGCTCCTGTTCTTTTTTATGGTGAAGATTCCATAGTATGGGCGAATCTAATATTTACTTTCTGGAACTAACTTATGGCTCTAACAAGAAAGCAAATGATTCGTACATGTAGTTATGTTTAAAGAAGCTACACAAACTCATATGTATACTAAATTGACATTCCTTATATGTTGCAATTAGGATTTGACCAAAGGAAATGATACACGGATTCCTGTGTTTGACTATCAACAAAAGAGACATGTTGGATATAAAGCAATAAAGAGTGCTTCGTCAGGGGTGGTAGGCCAGGCTGATTATGGTTTTGATTTTTGAGGGCAATTCTTGATTTTGCGAGGTTCACTTGTTTTTTGTTTATGGCTTCAGGTAGTAGTTGATGGCACATATGCTCTACATGCAAAACTGCGGTCTTTGCTAGATATTCGAGTTGCTGTGGTACTTACTCCTTTCTTTCCTTATTATCAGTTTTACAAGTTATGGTCACTAAATTGTTTTATGTTATTCTTATAAACCTTTGTTTAGATAGTTGGTTAGAAGATTTCAGTATTATGATTAATTTATATTTTCAACAAATCAGGTTGGTGGTGTTCATTTTAGCTTGCTTTCTAAAGTTCGCTATGATATTGGAGATTCTTGTTCGCTGGATTACCTTATTGACAGTATTTTCCCATTGTTTCGGAAGCACATTGAACCAGATCTTCATCATGCGCAGGTTGGTCTCTTTTCTTGTTCTTACGACCAAATTTCAATTCTCAGACTTTTTCCTTTTCTCCTTTTTATGGCAGATCAGAATTAATAACAGCTTCGTTTCATCATTTAGAGAAGCCATCTACAAGGTGAAATGCAGAAGCGAGGTGTGTCTAACATCCATAAATCACTACCATTATTTGCCTCTTATTTTATGTTGATACACCTCTATAATTATTTTTTATTGAGGAAATTAGCATACTTTATCGGTTTTCCTTTTCTTTTATACTTGTTTGTGTATCTTTTCTTCCTTCGTCCACTGGAGGTCAATTGACTTCTTAGATTTCATATCTCTTTGAGGCAGTTTGTACTTTTGGAACAAATGATATAACCTGTGTTGGAAGTGTAATTCATGTTGTAGAAGGGATGTATAACTTCAGAGTATAATACTCACTGGTACATCACCTAAGGAAAGTGGACCAGCCATTTATACGGAAACCTACAAGATTGCTGGTTATGGGTTATTTTGCACTTTAGATTGAAGGGCTAAATTGAAAGCATTTTAGATGTACTGCTATTGACTCGCACTTTAGATTGTTCATTCCAAGCTACCAATCTGTCAGTTGTTAGGCTTGGTATTAATTTTTGGTTGAAGATAGAATGGAAGGGCAGCATTGAAAGCATTTTAGTGATTGAAGGGCTAAATTGAAAGGAAAATCTGAGGAAGACAAAATGGAAAATGTTACTATTTCTAAGGGGCCAAGATATGATTTTCATCTCTTTTATATCTTTATTTCATCATTTTTTATCAGACCTAGAGTTTCAGAAGTATGATATGTAGAAGGTGAAATTGAAAATGCACTTGCTCTGCAGGGCATTAGGTTTAATGGAAAAAAGATGAAGAAAAATGAAATGAGAGATGGGTCCCCCAGCATGGTAAAGAATAGAGGCTCCCTATTTCTATGGTTTTCCTCTCTTTTGTTTCTTCGTCTCATCATTTGTGATTAGATCTAATGTTTCAGAAGTCAAATTTCATTAGTTATGTGGATTCTTTCTTTTGTCATTGGTGTTTTCCTATATTTTGTGAAGATATTAGTTGTGTTTGGGCCGCTTAGCATCCATTGATCAGTATAGCCTGTGGACCTTTGCCACAGGATCTTGTGTAGATTAATAGAATGATTGTTACATGCGACATAGCATCTTCTTTGTTATGCACATTATTTGTGCTATACAGTAAGCAGGGTGATATTCAACTGCACACAATTTGAATTTGTCCAAGTGTGAAGATTAGCACTATAATATGGAATTTCTAGCTACTTACGAAGTTCTATTTTTTTCTGACAGTCTCCTGATGGACATTTGGGTTCTTCCTTTCAACAAGATGAAGCACAAACAGACAAGTGAGTGGCTGCTATTCTACCCATCTTAATTCATTTTTCATGAGAATTATTATTTAGAATGCAAAATATATTTATCAGAAACTATATTTTCAGTTTAGTTGAGATATGCGCTTGCACATGTATATTATTTGCCAATAGCTATTCATTAATATTTTGAATTCTAAATAACTGTACTAAAAACTTGTGCTTCCAGTTGTATAGAGATGTATCTTAGACCTCCTTCAGCTAGTGAAGAAGCAACAATCAATGATTGGATCAAGGTGCGGCAATCTGGAATTAGATATTATCTTTCCCTTGGTGATCAGAGGATTGTTGACAAAAATTTCATTATCAGACCAAAGGCTGAGTTTGAGGTGTGAATTAGTTCGAAGTGTTCTTCATTTACTCTTTGGTTTTTCTTTTCATGATGACATTATATCAAACAGCATGGGTTAGGATGTAAGTCTTGTTTTCAGAATTTAGTTAAAGGATATATTACTAAAGGTCTGAGAAAAAATGCGAAGAGGCTGTGGAATTTGACCAATATATTGCAACAGAGTCCATAATCTCATACTTTTTTGCATTATAAAATCACTGGCTTTTGGATGCATTTTCACTTGCATTTGGCCCTGAGGACATGCCTTATCCTTCAAAAATTGTGTTCCTCACCAAGAACCTGCAGCAAAAATAGTTTATATCTGTTTCCTATTCTATAAAATACGTTTGAGGTTAACAGCGGTACATCTAAATATTGCAAATAAAATTGCTTTTTTACTATGAAGAGAATTTATTTTTGTCAATAAAGCAGCTTTCTTGGAAATATCTGTTCTCCCTCACAAGCCTTATTGGAAAAATATAATAAGCTGCAACCAACCTTCTATTCGTCTTCCTTCTGCTGTCATAATTCTTAAGTGAGGTGTGTCACAGTTTATGGTGTAACCAAGAAAAATTTATTGTGAAATAAACAAATGCTTTAACTGTCAGTATTACATAACTGTTGAAATTAAAGTAACTGTGGTTGCTTCTGCTTCATATAACCAAGAAGTAGGTTAGCTCTGTCCCTGTTGATTTCACTCTTCCAAAACTTTTCGGAAGTCATCCTTTGATGAAACGTTTCTTTCAAGGGCAAAAAGCTTTTCAAATATATGCTTTTGGAGGGTTTTTGTTTTTGTCACAGTCAGAATATTTAATGGGCTTTTCTTGAAACATTTATTCGCCTAGCAGCCTGCAATTTTGAGCTCAAAGGAATGGCATCTCTGGTTTTTTGGATACTGCATCTCTTTTCCTTTTCTGTTTTATATGTCTTTATCACAGAAACTGAAATCACACATTGCAGACAGGTGTTTTTCTTGTTGTATGTAGGTGAAAATATTGTGATTCTAGAAGCTTAAGATTTCTGCTCCTGCTTTGAATTTAAAGCACCAGCTTTATGTTGTTGAAACAGGTTGGGCGAATGACATTAGGGGGGCTGCTTGCTCTGGGTTACTCTGTTGTCGTTAGCTATAAGCGTGCATCTACAACAGTCACTAATGGCAATGTTTCTGTGTCTTTTGAAACCATTGATGCTCTGGGTGAGACGTACATGGTGCTGAGGGGAACAAATAGGAAAGTATGAATTATTTTCTTGCCTCTTTAGTTTATTTTTCTTTTCAGTATCAGAATGAACCTTCTAAAGCACATCAAGTCCTTACTTTTTAGTGATTTTGCTTGCTTGTTTTGTGTTAATTTAATGAATAAGATTATGCTTATATTGTACTCATATCTGGTTGCCAACTGTAATATGTCAAAACTGTTAGTTCTTCACTTTGTCTTTGAAAAATACAATTGATAACTTTTATGATTCATTAAGAAAATCACGTGATATGGGAAAAAATATATATATTAATATATCTGTGTGTAATTGACAATTGGTGAGGTTAGACACACTTATACCTCTTGATATCCATCTGGAGGAATTGATTTACGGTTATAGAACTATCGAATTCGAAATAACTACATGTTGATTTTACTTGCCACTGACAACAATAATTATGTAGTTGAGTAGTCGATAGTATCTTTATTTTTGAAATTCTATAGCATGTTAATTATATGATATTTGATGAGGTGCCAAACTATGCTGGATTAACATTCAATTTTGAGGTTGATATTCATTAATAGACTCATGCTTCAGAGAATTATTCAATAATTTGAGACTTATTTTGATTAATATTGGTGTCAGTTGATACCTCCTTAGATATTCATGTGCTTCAAGGACCGTTTTGACTAAAAACCTTAACTAGTGGAATGAAAATCTTCTAATGTCTAATATGCTCCTTACATGGAAGGCCCTTGGGCTCAACATTTGGACAAATTACAAGCCCATGAGGTGCTGAAACTTAAATTTTAACTAAGAGAATTGGGACGGCAAGGATCAAATTCATAATCATTTGGTCGTAGAGGCCGCACACTTATATAGTGATATTCTGAAAATAAAGTGTCTCCTATGATTGTGAACATTTTGTTTTCAGCATTGGCTGTTCCTTGGCTGTTTTAGGTTGTCTAACAAATAGGTCTTTAGTTTTTAATTGAGTAGTATCAATCTTGCCACATAAGCATAAATCATGATCTGCAATTTGAGTATCACCAGTTAAGAGTAAAATACTTTTTGGTAAGAATCATGTGGCATCTGGTACTATTGATAAATCCAGATTTGAATTGGGTTAAATCCCAAATTGGGTTATACCATAGCTTTTTCCATTCACAAGGCTTCCAGTGTAACTGAAGGTAAATTTCCTTTATGAGGATTTGGTCCGAAATTTCTATGATTTTGGTTATGTCAACTGGATCGCAAAAAGACTAGGCTCGATGAGTTTGAATTGGTACTCCTTCCACTGTGTATTATATTACTATTGATCGCAAAAACATGAATAGGTTGTTTTCATATTGTGTGCTAGCACTTGGGTGATCATATTCCTTTTATATTGGCAATATTTTAACCTACTCATCAGAAAGAAGGGATTTTTTCTTCTTGCAGACAGTTGGAACAGAAGCATTAAAGATGGGGGTGTGTGGCCCTTGGATCACCAAGTCATACCTGGAAATGATTCTTGAGAGAAAAGGCAGGGTTTTATAATCTATTCATGTTTATGATAATATATTTCCTGTATTTATTTTTTAATGTGTTGGGGATCACTTGGAGTTTGTGTTGTGAGAGCAACTGCGGTCAGTTATCTGCTGTTCTTATATTGTTTATCATCAATCGATTATTTTAATCAACAAGAAAATGAAAGCACAGTTTTCCGTTGTTGCTCTTGTTTAACATCAATTTTTGTAGCAGTTATGTCTCCTCAATTTGCATGCAGGTGTACCTCGTCTCAGTACACCACCACTTGTGTCTAATACACCTGGGTCTGGTAATCAAGAAAGAGAAATTGTTGCACCAAAGCCAATTCGAGTTACCCCTGACCTTGTAACTGGAATTGAGGAATTGTCGCAGCCATGGACTCGATCCCCGAGAAAGTCCAAAATGGAACCTGTCATAGCAACTTGGCGTTTTATATCTTCAGATTCATCTAGCACTGACAACACAGCACTAGGTATTTTTCTTTAAATCGGCGAATATATCCTAAACTTTTCCTTCTATTTTGTTGAATAAAGTTCTGCACATCTACACAAGACTTTTTATACTGAGACTTCTGTCATGAAGCAACCACAGATCCTTCATCTTTCAGGGATACTATGAGGCTTGCTCCAATGCCTGATTCCTATGACCTGGATAGGGGATTGCTTTTGGCCGTTCAAGCAATACAGGTGAGGAATAAAATTGTTTCCAAGCATCACATTTTGAAGATGAGTGTTCAATAAAACAATTCGCATTTATGGGTTTGATTGAATCCGTTCTCCCTAATTGTTGCTGTTCCAGGCTTTGTTGGAGAAGAAAGGAGTTCCAGTCATAGTTGGAATTGGTAATACAAGATGTTTTCTGATACCTGTCTCTGCATGTGTGTGCATAACTAATCTGCCCTTACACACATATGCATATTTTTCTGGATATATGTGGCTATCTTCCTCTCACAGTGGAGGGGTTGGGTGTTGGATGTGGTGCATTTATGGTAGTTCCACACACATGATGAACATTTCTCTTATTCTTTTTGTTGTATTGAATTATGATGCAGAAACATGTTTCATTTGGCAATAACATATGATGTGCAACTAGTTATCTGCTAAGAGTTAAAAGCTACCAACAACTAAAGAACATGCAATCTAAGGAAAAATGTGGATAAAGTGGGGACTGTCAAAATAGACAGGTCATATCATATAAGTCTTTCAAGCCTTTTTGGTGAAGTCATGCAAGTTTTAAATAAAATGAATACTTAATAAACGAATAGTCTAAGGCCAGGTTAGGATTATGGGATATTGGGTGAGCTCTTGAGAATCAAACTCTCTTATTGCAGCAGATGCCTTATATATATTTAATCTAGGAAAGTTACCAGTTGTTTATATTAAACTCCAGCTGCCCAGAATGCATGCTTGGTGCAAGTTGAAATATAGACTAGATGCTGAGAAGGTTCAGATATGAAGATGATAATTTTCTTAATTTTTATAGAAATGATAATTTTAGTGTTGAAGTCATGAATTTTCATGTTCGTGAACTGTTCTATGTTGCATACTAGTTCTCATCCATTCTCTTCCGCTTTTAGTGCTCAAATTGTTGAGATATAGACTAGATGCTGAGAAGGTTCAGATATGAAGATGATAATTTTCTTAATTTTTTATAGAAATGATTATTTTAGTATTAAAGTCATGAATTTTCATGTGCGTGAACTGTTCTATGTTGCATACTAGTTCTCATCTATTATCTTCCACTTTTAGTGCCCCAATTTTTTCGATCTGAGAATATTCTTTTAGTTACAGGGTGTTCAATGAATAGTGGAAAAATAAATTGTTTCCATTTTCTTTGCTCATAATTAATTAATTATAGTGTTACTGTGATGTGAAACAAGGAGGGAAGGGGAAAGGAGAGAAAAAAGGAGGAGGAGGGACAGCAAGAAAGGAGGGATGTATAATCTATAGATGAATTGTTTGAATTGAGGTAGAAGAAACAGACGAATATATATATATATATATATATATATATAAACTCAGAATACTCAAACATTTATTCAATTCATCACTCTTAAATGGCTGATTAATAGAGTCCTAACTCTAACCTAATCCTAGTTAAAATATATTATCCTAGAAGATATGATAATATTTTATTGACATAAAATATCATCTAAGTCCTAGATAAAATAAAATAAAATAATGCAAAATAATTTAAATCCTAATACAAAAAATGTAAAAGATAATTCTTAGAAACAAATAATCCTAATGAGAAAATAATCTAAAATTACCCATATTCCATCATATTGTCTTCTTTTTTTTTTTTTTGGTAATTTTGTTTTCCAACTGAAAAGTATAGATTTTATGAATAACGGATAGTTAACTCATTGCATTCTCACATATACATACACAGGAGTGGGCGTGCTCTGTAATTTTATCTATTTTCTTCTTAGTTTCCAAATTAACAATAGTTGTGAGATCAAATTTGTGAAGAATCCATCTGCTGTAGTTCAGCAAAAAGATTAACCTAGGCGATTGTGTATGCTGATATTGCTGCAGGAGGTCCAAGTGGGTCTGGAAAGACTAGTTTGGCCCATAAAATGGCAAATATCATTGGTTGTGAGGTAGTTTCTCTGGAAAGCTATTATAAACGAGTAAAGGATTTTAAATACGATAACTTCAGCTCACTTGATCTGGCTTTGTTATCAAAGGTAAGGGCATTAAGTTGACTATATTAAGTTTATTGCATCACTCCATTTTTTTATGGCTGATGAATATTGTACCTTCATATCTACATTTTGTGAACTCCATGAGCAATAAAACATTTCCCTATGTTGGTTCATTTTCTTTTTAAAAGTAGACAGTTCCGGTCGTTTGTTCCTTTCTGGGATTCCAAAGGTGTGATTGGTTAAGAACTTTTTAGTGCATCACTTGCATGGCCATGCAAAAATGAGTGTCTTCACAGACAAACCTCCTCCAGTTCATTCTCCTGCCTCAATTATTTGGAGCAAAGACATGCTGGTCTATAAGAAGCATTGCCCAGAAAATTATGTCTGTTTTTGTGGCTAGGGTGGTCCTTGCAGACATTTAAGAAGTGTAGATGCTCTTTCTATTCTCCAAAACTCAAACATGATTTTGTGTTGCTATTTGGTAACACACATGTTAATGTTGATCTTTTTAACTATGAGTTGATTGCTTCTGAACACTTTTAATTAGTTTTGGCTACAGATTTTGTGGATAAAATGGTGTTATTGTTTGCTTGTCTCTTGAAACAGTTATAATTATCATTTCATTACATGGCAGTCATGTTTTTCATTACTTAAGGCTTTTTGTTACTCAAATGGTGTTATGGCTTGGCCCAAAAAATGTTACGGTTATTACTTTTAGCTTTAAATTATGAAATAGTCTGCAGATACTGAGTTGATATTTAAAGTTTGCAGCCATATTACTTCTCAATGCTTTCCTTTAATTTAACTCATGATTTTGTTAGCAACTTATCGTTCATATTATTGAGTTCCTTCCAGAATATTGATGACATACGAAATGTTCGGAGAACAAAAGTTCCTATATTTGACCTGGAAAGTGGTGCTCGGAGTGGCTTCAAGGAACTTGAAGTTTCTGAAGATTGTGGAGTGGTTAGTCATAATAAATTGTACTCCTCCGGTCCTAAATGTAAGACTCATTTTGTAATATAAATGGATCTTACATTTAGGACTGGAGGAGTATATGTTTTCTGCATTACAGCCTTTGCTTTTAATCTATGAAGTAGATAGGGACAAAGATTGTCCTGTCCTGTATACATGAAAACCTGCTGTGGCATATTTCAGTCGTCAGTGTCAATTAGAGTGTCTGATATGCTCCACACACACACACACACACAAAAGTCCTTTCTTAAAGCAACCTGAAACTAGTTAGTTCAATTCTATATCAGTTATATATTGAATTTTGTCGATACACGCATGCACCTGTGGCTGTGCCTCTATACATATGGAAGTTGATTTTGAGCGTTGTGCTGTTCTAGAAATGGACACAGTAATGGGCTGGTGCAGTAACTGGGCTAGCCCTTTCTGGCAATATGCACTATCTCCCCATGGTTACCATGGCTACTCTAGAGTTAAAAAATGGTAGCAGAATGTAACTGTCATAACTTGCAAGCTTTCCTATAATGAACTCTACTTACTGGAAGGCATGAACACCCTTGGTCTGGTTTAGGGAGCCCGTGCTGGAATTGATCATTACGCATTTAGAAGTCTGTTTACACTCCATAGTAATTTCTTTCCGTTTCTGGTTTCTTTAGAACCCACGACCATCAGAAAAGTGCAGCATAGATATGGATAGAATAATAAATCCCTAACTTGAATATCTGATGTATTCTAGTTTGTATGTCTTTACCAATTATTCTTGTGGATTCCTTAGAGTGGTGTTTGTCTTGACCAGATTATATTTGAAGGGGTTTATGCTTTGCATCCTGATATCCGAAAATCTCTTGACCTGTGGATTGCTGTGGTAAGAATGGGTTTCCTTAACCTCTGAATGCTCTGTCTTTTTGAAATACTAATTCAGTTTTGTCAATTCAAGGAAGCCTGTGAAATAAGTTATTTCCTCTTTGCTCGTTTGTTTGAAACAGGTAGGAGGTGTTCATTCACATTTGATATCTCGAGTTCAAAGGGATAAGGGTAGAGTGGGATATTTTATGTCCCAAAATGAGATTATGATGACAGTATTTCCCATGTTCCAGCAGCACATTGAACCACATCTTGTCCATGCACATGTCAGTGGATAGTATGCTTTCTGTTTATTATTTCTTTAGAATATAAGTGTTGATACTTTTTTGCTCATGTCCATTATCCCTTGATTTAATCTTTTAATTTTTCCCGCCACCGTAATCCCTTTTATTGTGATAGTGTCTTTAACCTTTGTAGATGATGTTTTCTTTTTTCATAAACTGATGTGTTGGACATAATTTCTTTTTACTATTAAGTTTGTTTTTTAAAACCTGTGGAAGCCACGTTTATTGTTTCTCTCTCTGCAGCTTAAGATAAGAAATGACTTTGACCCTGTTCTTTCCCCTGAGAGTTCATTGTTTGTATTGAAAAGTAATAAAAAGGTAAGAGCTTGATCTGTATTTTTAAGTTGTATTAAATACAGAAATTTTTTTCATTATAGTTACTGAGCATCACAATTGAAAACAGGTTGCTTATCAAGATATTCTTATGATTCTTGATCCAGCAAAATTTTGCAGTTCTGTTCAGAAGTTCATTGATATATATTTAAAGCTTCCCGGGATCCCCTCTAATGGACAGTTGACCGAGGGTGATTGTATAAGGGTCAGAATATGTGAAGGAAAATTTGCTTTGTTGATACGTGAGGTTGGAACCAGCCCCCTACACCCCAAAAAAAATTCCCTATTTACCATCTCCATAAGTTCCTTACTGATACCAGCACATGTTTACAGTTATATTTATCACCTCCCAATGCATCTTTCCGCTTATGCTTGATTAGTAATTTTATCCTATTATCTTGCATTTGTCAGCCTATTAGAGAAGGAAACTTCATCATTCAACCGAAAGTGGATTTTGATATTGGCATTAGTACGGTTGCAGGTCTTCTCAATCTGGGGTAAGCCCACATTTTAACTTTTAAGAAATAGGCAACCCTCTCCTAGAATCTGATTAGAAGATCATGCAGAATTTCTGAATATTGAGATTAGACTCAATTTTTTATTGCTGCTATACAATAATATTTATTGATATCCAATTGAATGGACATTTAAGTAACGAATTTGACCATAGCAAGATGTCCGGCTACTGATATTTGCAAATCCATTCTGTCAGAGTTACGGTACTCCTGAATTATGGTTGAGGTAATAGTCTGCACCTTTTTTTTTTCCTTTCAGGTATCAGGCAGTAGCTTATATTGAAGCATCTGCGTTCATTTACCAGGATGGAAAGGTAACCTAATTTATTCTATAATCCTTATTTGACTGAGAATATGCCTATTTGAGTAGAAATTACATGCCTGACATAAATTTTGTTCCAGTTCTCCCTCCCTCTCCTCCTCTCCAAATCTGAGCTTGACTAATTTCAATGCTGAGATCCAAACACTCTTTTGCAACTGGATCTTTGCTTTGTTGTCTATTGTCATATAAACTCTCGAATTGTCAACCACATCTAATAGCACTCTTAATGACACATCAAAAGTGAAGCCCTGCGTATTTGAGTACTCTCTTTCAAATTTTGCAATCAGTTATACAACTCAAGAGATATCGATATTTAGTTATTTTTAGCTGGAGTCTGTGAGGGGAACAAAATTCTTGTATTTGTCATCAGTAAGGCAGCATAAGAGATATCTGTAGTCAATTATCCTTAACCGGCGTCTGAGAAGAAAATTTTCACATGCTAGGCCTTAATCTTCAACGTAAAGCTAAATGCTTGAATAATACTTGAATACCAGCAAGGTCAGGCACAGTTGGCGGGTAGCTGGGCCTCTTAAGCAGTGTTTTCAAGGGTTTGATCCCTATTTATGTGTATGAAAAATACTTTGTTGGAAGAGGCAAAACACACTTTTTACATCTCAAAAAAGATTCGTCTTTAGCTATCAATTAAGGGTGGTGTACCCCCAAAAAAAAAAAAAAACTTAAATATTCTTAACGCACATTTAATACTTGATGTGAGAATGGTGTTGGCAAAAACATGGACACGTCGTATGTGTCATATGTTCATTCATGGTGAATCAGTCAAATTAGGTGTACTTGCTATATGCCAAGCATGTATTTGCTGATGAGCAAACATTAGCCTACAAATACAAATTAATCGTTGGTTGGCAATGATGCTGCATCACTTCCTGCCTTATCTTTCTTGCGATCCCTGACGTTTGTATTTTATTTACTTGGGCTATTTTAACAGTATCAAGCATGAGGATAACTAGTTGGCTAAAGGATTTCTGTCCATTTCCTAATCAATCAAGTTATAAACTCTTTTAAAAGATTGTCCTTTCCTGCTTTCAGATTCTGATTGAGGTTGACCATCTACAAGATGTCTCCGGTCCATACATTCAGATTAAGGGTGTTGATAAGGATGCTGTTGCAGCAGCTGGTTCAATGCTTAAATTGGATGGTTCATATACTACTAAAGTATTGACTTTTTAGCTGTTTCCCCATTTAAATTGTTTTGTTTTCTGTTGGACTTCAGCTAAGTAGCATAGCTGCTTAACTATTTCTCTATTGTAGTTGACATATCGTTATTTTTTTTTAGAGTTATCTTCAAATAATTTTGGAAAACCTACCTGCACTGGAAAGAACTTTTGGTGGCATCCACTCTCAGCAATCTGCGAGGATGCAAGAAATTGTTGAGTTTATTCAATCTCAGGTATCTCTTGCTCTTTGGATGGTTATTTTATCTGGCTTTCAGGACTTCATAATGTTATTCCTACTTAAAATGTGCAAACACTTGAAACAGAGATTGCCATTGTGATACTTCAGAGTTGAATGAAACTTTAACACCGCATGCGAAAGCATGATATCCAACTCAGCTGATTAGTTATTGGACTAGATGTTTTACTAGAAGATGCTAGAGCCTCTTTAAATCATAAATTATTTTATTCTAATTTTTCATTTGATACAAAACTATAAAGAATTATGATATCCAGCTTAGTCTCCAAATAAGATATACTATATGATTTAATGGTATCGACATAGATTGCGGGGTTTACAATGTATGAAACTAACTCCTCAAATTCTTTATATGCTAATATAACAACCACACTGAGAAACTTGTATTCTTTACCTTGGGGTTGCACTACAACTCCACAAGATCTCATTCACCTAGAAGACTTTCTAAATTCTAAATATATCTTCACTCTATCTAAGAGCTCAAATAAGAATCAACCAGACTCTTAATTGGCTGTGCGTACAGAACTTTGTTTGTATTTGTGAGTGGAAGCCTGGAATTTGAGACAAATATGTATACATGTATTTGCACATATAGTTAGTTATAAACACACTCGAATGAACAGGGAAGCAGCTTAGCATCAGAATGCTCACCAAGAAGAGTGGCGTCCCCAATGGAAGGGATTATCGAGGAGATGCAATCCAGGATTAGAAGGCTAGAACGGTGGCTTGCTGTAAATACGGTATTCTCAACACCCCCTCCCCCCCAAAAAAAAAAAAATTGCATGCTGATTCTGAATTCACCATGACTTCCTCATTTTTACTCCTCTTTTTTTTTTTTTTTTTTGTGGTTTGAGAAGGTTTTATGGACATTTCTGATGTCTGCTCTCGTGGGTTATTCACTATATCAAAGGAAGCGTCAATGATACTCTCAAAATACAATACGGGGCTCAAAAGTCTTAGAAGTGACAAGTTCATTTTTTTCTTGGCTCGACAGAAGTGGCAAGTTCATAGAAGCTAACAAGTCACTAATCCCTTGCCACAGATTTTGTAAGACTTTCCCAATTTAGTTAGGAGAAGGAGTTACATGGTGTTAAAAGGGCATTGTAAATTGAGTACTTTATACCTGTTATTGTGTTGCTATGGCCCTCAATTTTAATGCTTGCAGCGAGCATGTCATTAGAGTAGTCCAATTTCACTATGAGAAGCACACCCTAATCTCGTTACAATGGTATCCGTCACAACAGCCCAAAAAAAGTATAATGCATTAATGTTTTATAGTAATAATTGTTTGTTGTTATTTAATTCATAGACGGGGGATATTTTTAAACTAAAATCATTTCTTTGAATTATTTTATTTTATTTTGTGTGACAGAAAATCAAATAATAGAAAATCACTGTATAACAGACTTGCAGCATTGAGGACAGTGGGCAGATGCCAACTTCACATATCAAATAGAGATGCATTGCCCTGAAGGAAGCAATGATGGACCATCAAATATCAAATAATATTTTCAATACATAACAATTCCACAATAAAAAATGAACACGATTCAAGGTGTCGAATTGAACCCTTGAAACTTGAAAAGAACAGAATTAGTAACAATACTCCGTAAACCATATTCAGCATGACTGGAAACGCCATTGTTACCTGCAATTGAAATTTACATCAGAGAATAGTCAACTAGGGTTTTTGCATTGACCCAAAGAAATTTACGCCATTAATTATAATTTGAATTTCATCGTACAAATGAATAGAAAATTAGAAGTGATGATAAACATAAGCTATTATCAGCTAATAGATAGAAAATGAAGCATTGTGTACCTTTTATTCACGGTATGGCGTGAGATCAATGTTGAATTTTTGTTTCCCTTTGCTTACCCTCTAAAACACAGCAAAGAATAAACTAATCAAATATATGGATTCAAAATTACAAATATTAACAATAAAAATAGTCACTCCATATTCGATAACACCTCCATCGGATATGAACAGCGGAATATAAGATTGGTGTAATTAATAGAACGTCCAGTTCATAGGACTTAATAGCAATTGTTCTTCTAATTAATCAGGAAAAATATTCATTCATCAAAAACAGGGCAGGCAAGATATCTGCACGGTCACAAATTTCAAAGAAAGCATAGCTGAAATCTAATCATTTTGACAAGTTTCTAACCCATAACGAAGTGATTTATGTAAATGATTGTTAAAATTGACTGATTTCACATATAATTCAATCATCCAATAGAAAGCAGGGCAAGCAAGATACGCCATCACAGACCAAACCTTAATTTTGGAAGTCCAACCATTTGATGAATTTATAATATTTTTTCAAAATTGCTATCCTTACACTCCCTCACATCTCTCTGCTCCTTTCTTTCTCTAGACACCGTTTTTTCTCCCTTTTTCCCCATTTCTCTCTCCTATTTGAGTTCATGAATTGCACATCATCTACTGCTGTAAAGATTAGCACTATAATAATAATTACCATAAAATCATTACTTTTCATAATAAACTATTAAATTTCAACTGAGACTTACAGAGATAGCTACAAGTTCTTCCAGCAGCTCCTCCAAATGGCGCAAAGGCTGTCATATGAGGGGGTTTCAAAACGATTCATCAAAGGTACCCTTTCAAATATAAACGTATAGAGCAAGCAAACAGAAATGAACACTGAGGGATTGTTTATGAATATAAATTATTATGATAAGAACAAAACTCACCCACTGTGTTGGACCATCAACAGGTGCATTCAGGGGATCATCATGTACCTAAAGACCAGAGGGGGGGAAAAAAAAAGAATCTCAATGGCAGACAAACTAAATTTGTCAGATAACCCTGAAATACTCCATTTATACAATGAGTTAGTAGACAACAGTGTTAGACAATATCAAAGCAGTGTCTCCATCATATCAAAGCTTTGTAAACTAAAACAGAAAAGCAAGAGGAGTCTCAAACCAGATATTTTGGGTAAAAAATTATTTTATGGTACAACTAATAATATCAGCATTGACTTTAGCATATTCTCTGTACCTCCATGAAAATCCCGTCCACTCCAACAGCAACTGCCGTCCTTCCAATGCATGGTATCAATTCTCGAAGGCCTCCACTTGCAACCCCTCCACCTTCCAACTGCATAAAGAATCAGAATTATTATCACTTTTTTTTGGGGGGGGGGGGGGATCTTTTTAATACACAAAGAAGCACGAATATAATCACCGATAAAGATATGAAAGAATCTTTTTAAAAGTTAGGCAAGAGCAAGAAAATGGATATCAGATCTGGATGAAAAATACCCATAGGTCAAGAAAGGCCAGTTGGACAATTGATACACATACTTGAGAAAGTGTCCTTGCACCGTGCCAAAATGACTTACTGGATTGGACAACAAAGACAGTAAGAGAAAATACTCAAGATTCCAAATGATATTGGTCCAGCAGCTAATGGAAGTAGCGCAAGGATTTTTGACATCATGAATCTAGCGAAACCAAAATTATGCTTTCCCTCAAATGTATGACATGCTATGAAAAGGTTTATTCAAATCAGAAAAAAAGATGCAATATACATTTATCTCTATCCTAAGTAATTGTCAAAAGCACCACATGCTAGAACAATCTGCTGCATAATATACTATATGTGAAAAATAATAAGAGGCAGAACCATATTCCGTACAAAACAAACGAGGGCATTATGATATGCTAAGTATACCTTTTTCCCAGCAGGCTGTTGTAATGAATGTGTGATATCAGCTACCTGCCGTAAAAAATATTTAAATGATTAGTTTAATGAGAAGAGTTGATCAAACAGTATGAAGTCCTCTAAAAAAAAATAGAGGAAGGCCGAAGACAACACTTAATGAAGTCATCGAACAAGATCTTTCAATTAACAATATATCCAAAGATTTGGTTTTGGATAAGGCTCAATGACATCGTGCAGTCCATGTAGCGGACCCCATCTAGTGGGATAAGGCTTTGTTGTTGTTGATTAGTTTAATGAGAAATAGAATGGTTTATGAACATAATGGGGACTGTTACATTGATATTTGATCAATTAGCTAGGATCAAGGGATCATTTGAACAATTTATCCCGAATTTCATATTCTAAAGAGAACCATAATAGAATTATTTTCTTACAACAGGACAATTGGCTTCTCTCATCCACTCCAGGTTTCGTGGATCAACAATCAAATCATCTACAACAACAAAGCAAAGGATTAATATAGTTTGGTTTTTTAACATAATCAACCAATAACTCTAACTTGCTTAAGATAAAACTAAATTTCGAGTATGTAATCATGGTTGCACAAGAAACAGCAGGGAGAAGGGCAGGTGACTCAGAATAAAATTGAATTTGAAAAGCACAAGACTATAATGAAACCACGATAAATCAGCAAACAAAGAATAGTTTATTGTTATGCAAGATTAGGGCAGTTCAAAACTTTGGCATATTATGAAGAGCTCGAACAGATGCTATAAACTTACTGTAACCAAACATAGTTCCTCTCTCACAAACCATCACATTTGGATTTCCAGCCAATCTAATTTTCTCAGCTGAATTTGTCATGACCTGCATATTTGATATTTATGAAGTATATGTAGAGACAAGCAACAATTAGAATTTGAACACATCAGATTGGACAATATACTTACAGAAGGAGCACAGAACTGGCCTTTCTTGATGTTGACAATTTTTCCAGTTTTGGCTGCTGCCACTAGAAGATCTGTCTGTCATAAGAGGGAAAATAAAAGAAATAAGTTAAATTGGGATGTCTATCCACCAAAAAGTTCAGTTAGTTCTACAGGTACTGGTAATTGAACCCGGGGGGGGGGGGGGAGTTATTTTACTTGACGACATAAGAATGCTGGTATCTGAATAACATCTGCAACCCTGCCAACTGGTTCACACTAGCAAAATAGAAGATAATGTGTAACAGTTAGTTCAGAAATTAGGAGTCTAAACTTCATTAAAATGCACCTTTAATAAGAACATATCAGAATCATCCATTCAATAACTTCAGTAAATTAAAGTGCTGATGTATTATGAATTTAACAATAAAAAATTGAAAGCCAATTTAACTCACAACTATGGAGGGGTACAAGTCAGACAGAAAGGGAAAGATAGCAAGGTCAAATCAAGCTTTAATGGTCTGGAACCAATTAATACTCTAACACAGTTTTTTGTAAAGTTATATCCCCAGATAGATCAATTTCTTTGGTCTCCCACAAACATGCAATACACAGGGGCACTCAACAGCGAAAAGAATCATTGATAATAAGGATGGACAACCAGCTGGAGTCCGCTAAAATAACATCTGTTAATTAGAAACCCTAAAGGTCTAAGGTCTACAATCAGAAAATACTGGCCTAATTTTTTTTCCTTGTTCATCCAAGTCGTTATGTCTTGCATTTGGGTAAGCACCGCTTGAATTGTCATTGAGCTTTTTCTCGCCTTTTAGCAATGATAATAATTGAACTGCATTCCGGTGGCCTAAACAAATTAAAGCCAGAACAGTTTTAGCCATAGATCATGACCATCTATGATGTTTTGAATTTTTCTAGTGTTATTGAAAGATGTAGCTGATTTACAAATTTGCAATTTCTGGCAATTTTGTAAAGACCTAAATGTATAAACCCTAAACTCCCAAATTAAAAAATCATGAATTCAACTCTGACGTTATATATCAATCCATGCATCATGATTGGCATCACCGACACTGCATGAGACACTAAATCAAAATAGCAGATAATTTGAATGACCTTCATCACAATAGAGATATAGAACAAAAGACTTGATCCAAGCAAAAAAAGCTAGAAATTTGAAATCTATTCCAAGCATTTAAATGGGCAGAAATTCATACGGTTGAAATTAGATATAAGCACATGCATTACCTGGATAGCCTCATGCACATCTGTCACAATAGGCATGTCATAGGCTATTTTGACCTTCTCAAGTATCTGTAGAAAATAATGAGAAATGTAGACAATCAAATTTTTGGGTTAGCTAGGCAATAAAACATAGCAAAATTGGTGCACTAAGCATGAGCTACAATTGGCATTTTTCAACATCAAATTCTGTGGTTTTGACAAATTTACTATCATGATGCAATTGTCATGTCAAAGGAAAAATGCTGCTCTAGTTGAGTCACAATACCTCTGCTAGTAGATATTCATAATTCCTTTTTATGTAAATATTTTATCATACTCATTATTAAAAATGAAGAATCATCCAAAAGTAACAATGGCCCAGAATGTAGTTAACAATGCAAGAGGTGACATCTGACCCAGGTCAGCATTCCCGTGGAATAACTTTCAGAGCCCTACAAGGGGCCGAGATATGATTACCCAGGTCATGCCACAGGGTCTGCTCATGCAACATCCAGCCAAAATCATCTGGCACAAATATAAATAATTGCTTCCTTTTTTAAGCATCTATAACTAACGCTTTTTTTGTTAAAACTCCAGAATCACTAGAGATATAGAAGCATCCTATTTCCTCAAGAAACAAGAAAAGAGCGGTGCAATTAAAAGCAGTAGGTTTCTGAACCTTCAATCCTTCAATCATGCCCGGGCCGCGAAATGATTTGGATGATGTCCGATTGGCTTTGTCAAAGCTTGACTTGAAAACCAATGGTATTCCAACCCTGGCAATTATATACTCGAGATCATGTTAGACACCGACACATACAAAAGTATACCTTTTGCTCACTGCACTTTATATGTTACTCTATTTCATAAAAATTAATTTTTACATAACTCAAATAGCAGGCTGAAAGAAGCAGATAGGGGATTCCAAATAAATTCAGGCTATACAAGTTGAAGCGAAGAGTAAACTCATCCAGCTTATGGAACAGACAAATATCAGTATAGCGGTGCCAGATAAAGAGAACAAGAAAAAGAAATATGTTGCCAGCAGCCTACGAAGAAGTTAGTTGTAGGAAACAAGGAATAACGTACTTTGATGTGATACTCTTTATGTGCTTAGCCATCCGTAGAACGTGCTCCTCAGATTCAATCACATTTGGACCCGCTAGCAAGAAGAATGGATTTGCTGACTGGGGTAACCGAAGAAAACAAATTCAACAATAAAAAATCCATTATTAACATAACTCCCAAATTGCTTAATGAAATATTACAGAGGGTAAAAATGAAGCAGATCGCTTCAAACCTTAAGCTGGTTAAACAGAACTGAAGATGGATCCATTTTCACAGTCGAAAGAAACACAAAAGGAACTGCAAGAAACAACAAAGCGCTAAGGAAATTCAGAAAATGTTGTTGCCAAGGTTTCCCAGCCTTAAAGTAAGCTACATTCTAAAAATAACAGGGGCGAGAGAGAGCGAGAGAGAGAGAGAGAGAGAGCTCAGCGGGTTTCCAACATTTTCTCAGAATCCAAGGACAAGAAGCAAATTGGCTTAGTACCGACCGTGACGGATAGAGAGCGTGAAGGAAGTCTTGCACGATCAGCGAGAGTGGTTATCTTCCCTGACCAGAAGCAGCAGCATCTATGGCGTCGTCTCGCACAAAGTGGAATTTCACGAAATTCATTTTTTTTTTCCTTTTTTCTTAATACTATTTATATTAGTGATTACTATTTCCGTTGCAAAAAAAAAATATATATATATATATATATATATATATTAGTGAGTATTTCTGTAGTGAAATCCGTAATCAACTAATCATCAATTATCGCTTATTATCAACCATCAAGATGATCATGGTTAGTAGTATTTTGGATTGATTACCATGGTTATTCTGGCAATAATACCATTGCAAAATAATTATAAAATAATTTTCTTAAATTGTTTGACAACAATCTTTCTTGTTAAATTGTACCTTCATTCTCCCATTTAAGTTTTCTTATCAAGAATTCAAGTCCTCACAATATATTAAATTTTTTTAACTTTATTTCAATCAAAATATACACTTTCTAAGCTGACCAAACACAATGTAAACTAATTCTTTAAAATAAATATATTTTAAAAATATATTAATTCTGAATATAGCAAATATAGTAATTAAGAAAAAAGATTACTTTTTCTTTATATTTTTGTAAATTAGTATAAAAGAATACAGCCAAACTATCATCCTTTTCCATTAATAAATATTGAAAAAAATACTTTACGCATGTGATAAAGGTGATTGTACATATTTAAGTTAAATACATTTTCTGTGTTTAATACTATCCCTGATCTTTAATATAAGACTTGATTAACTAATTTGAAGGTATTAAAAAATAGTTAAGTTAGTTATTTATAAAAAAACAGGTACTATCTTTCATAAATTATCCTTCGTAATCATATGTATTAACTAAAAATATTATTTAATAAAACATTTAATATGTACAATTATTACAATAACTACTTTAAAAAAATAGATAAATATTAAAAATAAAATAGATTGAAGTCTTATAATTAAAACTAAATTAAATATCTAGTGAGTTTTTATATTAAAAAAAATAGAGGAAGTGCATATGAAAATTGAAATGCCTTTGAACTATGTCTTTGCCGAGGCAGGTAGGAAATTAGGTAAACAATTCTTACACATTTGTTCGACCACTACCTCTTTTAAAAGGTGATGAATGATAAAAGGAAGTTGGGGTATTTGGATAGCACCAGAAATGCTTCTAAAAAATATTTTTTCGCAAATCGAAATAAACTCCTCCATATATTTAGTTTCTATACCGTAAAAATATTTTTAAAACCATGATTTTGATTCTATTCAAGCATCCCAAATTAGACTTCATTTCAGGGTAATTTTGATTTGATTAATGGACCATTGTGTTTCATTTAAAAAAAAAAAAAACTTTTTCGCAAGAAGGCAACAACTTCTCATGCATGCACAGAAATAGCTCTTTACCCTGAAAAAAGTGGGAAAAAAAAAAACTACCACGGTTAAGGGACCTTTCCATTAGGAAATTGTGGTCCCAACCTTCTCATGCAACAATTGAAGTTCGACATGGCACCACGGTTAAGAAGAGAAATAAATAACTGACCCAAAAAAAAAAGAGCCTAACAAACAGATACCACGTTCATGTAAATTCAAAATAAAACTTTTCTCCAATTAAAACTCTACTTTTAAAGAATCTCACCGCTATTACAAACAAGCCCTAAGTGGTAAGAATAAGACGTAAACAATGATCAAGAATTTAAAATTTCTTAATGTAGTAAAGTAAATAAAAAAATCACAACTTACGATTAAAATTATCACTGAAATTTTCAAAATTTTTATTAATTCTTATGGAAATTACAATTTAGTCTTACTGAATTTAACAATTGTGAGTGATAATTCTGATAATATTATTACCTATCAACAAGGGAGTTATGTTATACATCACTGAACATGTGAACTTAAAAAGACATCTACAGCCCCCACAATCGAAGTTTATGCTGTTACCACTTACAAAACTTTTTAGCTAACATTGCACATCAATTTTGAAGAAAATATAACTTTAACTTGTCAATGTCTTGAAGTTTCAGGAAGTAGGCAGCTGCTATTGCAAGTATGATGAAGAGTACAGCAATCCATAAGCTCAATCCTTCTGAAAAGAGATTAACATACGTATTAATAGTGATCATGGAAGTCTCAACAGCCGAAGATCTAACACTTTCCAACAACCTTCAGAGAAGTTATGCTTCAAGAGAAACCATTAAAGTTCTATTTGGTGTGAAGCATTGAAAATGAAAAGTAAGAATTAGAATTGGGATTGAGAAAACATATTAGAAAGTGTTTAGTATGAAGGATTACCTATTAATTGGGATTGAGCAAACTGATATAGGTAGGATTGGAGAATACCACATAGAGAGGTGGTATTCCCCAATCCTAAGTAACAAGCAATCACTCATACTAAACACTCTGTTAATAGATCTTCTCAATTCTAATCCCAATCCTTACCTCTTATTCCCATTGCTTCATACCAAATGGGATTTAAAAGTTCAGCACATTAAGTTGTGCAGCAAATGGTGCGTTGGATACGGTATTCTAAACTAATATTTGGTTTCATGAAAGATTAAACAAAACGGAATACCCATTTACAGTGATCGTATAACAAAAAAACCAGGGACTTGTTGATTCAGTTATCAAGCTAGTTTAGTTTTAAATACGCACATACCATTTTTCTGCTTCTCCTCAATTACAGTAACCCTTGCACTTGAATCAAAAGATACAGAAGCCAACACCCTGTACACAAGATTCAAAACCATCACTAACTTTCGATATCCAAGCTTCAAGTTCCTGGCAAAAACAGTAACAATGTACTGGCTTCAAACCTTGAATCATGAGAGAAAGCTAACGCAGTTACTATGCCAAGGTGAGCCCTTTTAATCATTGACAGAATCCGCATATTTGTCGAATTTACAATCACAATGTCTCCTGAAGGTGTTCCACTGCATGTCAACCCAGCAAAACAGAATAGATAAGTTCTTGAGAAGTCTCACCCTTGACGTCAGGAAGATGCATCTATCTTCATTGATCACTAGAGAAGAAGTATCAGATTACTTACCATGCAACTAACTTTCCATCAGTTGAGACATTGAACGCAGAGATTGCATCACGAATAATATGCTTTGAGCCAATCCTTGCCCCAGTCTTTGCATCCCATGTCAGTATGCTTCCACCTTTGTCTGTATCCAGCAATAAAATACTTGTCAATTAAATAAAATATAATTACCCTCAGAATACTTCTAATCCAGTGAGAATATACCTGTCATGGCAGCAATATACAAGACCTGGGTCCTATCATTAATTTGAGAAAATCTGCAAGAGCTAAATACTTCACCCTGCATTGTAGTTAACAAAATATGATTGGTCTACAAATAGTGAAAGAGATGATCAGGATAAATGATTAGTGAAGGAAAAAGGTTATACAAAAGATTAGCAAAAGCACTATATTGTCTTATAGTCAATGAATGCAGTTCAGAACACTCCCCAGTTGAGCAGTGTAACACAGCGGGAAAAAAATTGAAACCTTCAACTAGTCCATTTTGGCTAGATCTTGAAGATTAGAACTATCATTTATATCCAGATACATGGAGGATATTCCATAATACTTCTTTAACAGTTTGGCTACAATTAGGATACATATACGTGTGGCATGAGATGAAAAAAAAGCTTCAAAGAATATAATTTCTTTGTTTCATCCGATCCTTTATTGTTTTCCATTTAACTAATTTGGCCTCCTACATATTGGACAGAGCTTAACCAGCTAGACTATTAATGACTTTGGATAATATAGCATGTTGTAAAGTTTATATTTTATCTTGATATCAATGATTTGCATAATCGCTCGCTTTACCATCGGATACCAATTCCTCTTTTTTTCTCAAAGTTGCTTTATATGATCTTAAGCTCCTTTTAGTCCAATCCAATATATATATATATATATATGAGCAACATCAATCCAGAATTAAGGAATGTGAAGAGAAAGAACAGACAAATGCACCCAATCATTAAATAAATACTTCTAACGCATTTACAAATTGACCACCATCATTTAAAGGTCCAGATCAAAAGAAGATTTACAATAGAATCCCAAGGAGTAAGGTTATTTGAAAGAAACCCAAAAGGAAATCAGAAATCCCTCACTATCTCTCTCTAAGCTGAGGAGTATATGTCAATCAGACTAGTTTGTTAGAATGCTTTTGATCAAAGCATCAGTTGTTTGTTAATGTGTAGATGTACAAATCACCTCCATCTGATGCAATAGCCAGAAAAAGACAACTACGAAAGATCACCTTCTTCTAATTTACCTTGCAAAGCTATCTCCCAATCAATTAGTAGAAACTTGATAGCAATGATGCTCCATAGGAAACATGATGAGAAAACTATAAAGAAATTAACATTACTAGCAATAACTATAAAGCTTTACATTCTATTAATTATTTAATTTATAGATTCCATATTTCATAACTTATTCACTGCCAATAATAGTGTACAGTTCATAGTATATCCAATGTCACTCACGTTAGTTTAAACTTTACAGTCAACTTAACATTCTCTCTGTAAGTGACAATTGCTCACATTTTTACTTGATATGGAAGTTAGAACCATTGAGGAGGAAACATCCCAAACTCTGCACGGCCCACCACTTCCCAGAGAGACGAGCAGTTTACCGTCAGAGCTGCAAGACAATGAAAACAGACTATAAGGGAAATCCTCATCAAAAATAAAATGGGTAAACACTAAACAGAACTTCTCTTTTCTTTCTTTCAAAAACATTTTCCTTTTTTCTTTTGTAGTATTCAATTAAAAACTAAAATCTCCATAATATTGCTAAACAACAAACCTGAAATGTAAGTCTTTTACTGTCGAATAAGCTTTAGTCTCATTGAGAATAATTTCCATACTAGGCCACTTGAAAACCCTCAGATTGCCGTCCTGCACCACACCAAAATCAGAAAATCAAATAGCATCCCGCTCCTTTATCAAAAT